TTATATTTTCTACTGGAAATTAGTGCAGTTAAAATACATTAAGAATGGTTTGAACACTTTAGGACTCTTTAATTACTTTATCAGACCGTGTTTTTTTGTGATAATTATTAAATGTGTTCACAAGCACCTGGCATGGTTTAAAAGAAATGTATACATGGATAGTATAGGTAAATATAAAATGAGATGTCATGCCTAAAAGTTAATTTCTGTTTAACTCTTATGGGGTTAACGTGTAACAATGCAGATTGTAGATCAAAGTTAAGGGGAAACAAAAACAATCAGTGTTACGTTTTAACAATGGCTAGCGTTAATACAAGTTTCTGTCAGTGTAAAAAAGTAACACTTTTGAAAGTTTAATTCTAATTCTGTATAGATTGGGCCAATATGTTTACTACGCTGGTGTTGGTTTTAACTCTATTAGAGTTAATACAAACTGGCAAATTTACTGTGCATCTTTAAAACGTCGTAACCCTCAAAATCACAGGTTATTTGCAAACTTTGTACACTCGAACATTACCTGCTGTTCGAAGATCAACAAGAAGATCGAAAGAAGAAAAAAGGTTTAAATAAAGTTATATTAATCTTTATAGTTCGAAAGCTCAACACTTGGTGGCAAACTTTTGTTTGTTTGTTTGTAGTTAAGCACAAAGCTACACAAAGGGCTATCTGGGCTCTGCCCACCACGGGTATCGAAACCCGGTTTCTAGCGTTGTAAGTTCGCAGACATACGGCTGTGCAACTGGGGGTTATTGATAAGCTATACTCACTGAAAGAACTGAGTTTTTCTATGTCGATAGAATCGCCAATGTTCCAAATGTTCTTTGATCAGTCATAATTATTCTCTCTCTCTCTCTTACACATATACACACAAAAGTAATTACATTAAATTTACGTTTAATGCCTTTTCATTGCGATGATTATAGGATATTTTCAAACATTTTGATAACTTTTTTGTTTGTTTGTTATTAAGCACAAAACTACATAATGGAGTATTTGTGTTGTGTCCACTACGGGTATCGAAACCCGATTTTTAGTGTCATAAGTTTAGAGACTTACCGCTAGGGGGAAGTCTTAAATAAGAACAAGGAGGATGCTTCGTTGGTGTCCAATTGCAATCTTTTTTCTCTGTGACGCGTAAAACTTTTACGATCCTAATTAGCTTAAAACGTTAAAAGGCTCTCTGTCGAGAAAATTAGACAAATTTTCCAAAGTTGGTTTTTCTTCGATAAATGAAGCAAACGTAGTAAATTTCTCGATAAATATCAATAAACAAAGGTAAACATAACAAAGACATCCCTTATCGATACCTTTAACCAAGTAATGCAACAATGACAGGTTTACGCAGCGTGTGCAAAGAACGTATAACTACCGTGTTTGAACAAACATTTCTTTGTGTTTAATGGACATGTTGTGTATATAATTAAATAGAACAGTTCATTCATGATTGGCGCAAAGTTGAAACAACTTTTATAAAGTGAGCTTATAGAAAATAAACTCGGTCTGGGAGCATGTAAAAGTTTGGTCACGTGAAGACAAAATATCATAAAACGCAGGTTGAATACCAAAAACTGTTTGCTTGAATCACATTTTGTAAGTATGAAAAGCCGTATAACAGGAGTTCCATGAATCTGGTAAAAATGTTTAAATGAAGGTTGCAGAGCAGCATCATACATGGAACATCGTTCGATGAAAATGTTCATTCCACTCATACATGGTACATCGTTCGATGAAAATGTTCCTTCCACTCATACATGGTACATCGTTCGATGAAAATGTTCCTTCCACTCATACATGGTACATCGTTCGATGAAAATGTTCCTTCCACTCATACATGGTACATCGTTCGATGAAAATGTTCCTTCCACTCATACATGGTACATCGTTCGATGAAAATGTTCCTTCCACTCATACATGGTACATCGTTCGATGAAAATGTTCCTTCCACTCATACATGGAACATTTCGATGAAAATGTTCTTTCCACTCTAAATCGTAAACAGATACGAAGTAAGGACTTAATCTTACAAGCAAGGAGGACACAAATATAAAAGATTAGTTTTGATTATTCAGTGAGCTGGTAGAAAGTTTTAAATGCTGTTGGCGGACTCGGTAAATAATGTTGATAGACAAGTGATACAGGTCAGTGAAAATATATTATAAAATTACTTTAACTTCAAGTTATTCTCATTATTTCATATCACTTTGGTGACCCTTCACTAAGTTGTTCTTTAATTAGCTCCATAATAAGAAAACAAAAGTAAGTTGAAATTGGTGACCCACACTAATCCATCCTTTAAGTATGACCTGGGTAAATGAATAAACTTGTGTCAGGTTTGGTGACCATACACTAATACATTCTTTAAGTATCACCCGGACAAGGAAATAAACTTGTGTCAGGTTTGGTGACCCTACACTAATACATTCTTTAAGTATCACCCGGACAAGGAAATAAACTTGTGTCAGGTTTGGTGACCATACACTAATCCGTTCATTAGACATCTCCTGGATAAAGAAACAAAAGTATGCCAGGTTTAGTGGTTTTGAGCTAATTTTTTCTACATATTTATAACCTAGATATTACGAAAGTCCACAGCATACAAAAACCTTAATTTTACTCTGACGTCAAAAGCTGTCGGCACAATGAAGCAGTAAGTGAGCCTATCAGAGTAGCGTCAAAAATTTTCACAGAGAATTTCTTCCCCGGAGAGATACCACTCCATGTATTGCTCGCTCAGTTTATATTAGCGAATGTACATTGCGCCGTAAGGGAGCGCGACAGGTTACAATAGCCTATTTATATCGATCTGTCAAACAGGTGAAATTTATTGTCGAACAGGAAGTAAATTGTGTTACTTCTGTTCCAGTTCTATTTTATTAACACATTGGTGCATCAAACACAACCTTGAAACTAATAGAAACGTTCTGCTATAGTTTACATAAAATCAATTCTTTATTTTCCAGCTATTGATGTCTTAAACGAGTCTGGCCAGATGACAGAAAAAGAAATCTTCACACTAACGAACGAAAGTTATATGACCAAATCCAAGGTGAGAAATAACCAAGAAAATCAACAGGACCCACTTCTAGAACCTCTGTCTGATCTCAACTACAACATCATAGCCTGTGTATTGTTTGTCATCGCTCTCGTGGGCTTCTTCAACAACCTGGTTGTCATTTCTGTTATTCTTCGGAACAAGCAGCTACGTTCCTCTATGAATTTAATCTTGCTGAACATGAGTGTCTGTGACATGACAATCTCTGTCACAGGGACACCGTTGACCTTTGTTGCGGCTGTGTACCGAAGGTGGATATTCGGAGACCTCGTTTGTGAAGTTTACGGCTTCGCCATGTCTGTAGTAGGCAAGTGATATGAAATCTGTAAACTTTATGATTTTACTACCTTTAAACTTATTGCAAATCAACTGATTATAAAGAGAAAGCTGAGTATTGCAAATTTAATTCTAGATTACCGATGCGGTCAGACCCGAGCGGTCTTCAGTGGTACAGTATTAAGTCTGCGGGCTTATAACGTTAAGAACCAGGTTTTGAGATCCGTGGTAGGCTCAGCACGGATAGCCCATTGTGTAGCTTTATGCTTAACTACAAACAAACAGACTCTATCAGATACTTAAACACATTTTCCTAAACCATTTATGTTTCAATTTGTTTTTGGGCCTCTAGCGATTAATCTCAAATTACTGGTGAAGTTTCCTGCGTATTTTACATTCAAAATGAGCGATTTAATCAATTTTTATTGGTCAGGTTTGTCTTTCTTTCTTTCTTTTTACATTGTTTGTTGTAACAGGCAAAAATTACTCATAATGATTCAGTATGTAAACCCCACCAGTAGCGAACGGCGTGAAAGGGTTAAGCTAACTTTAAGGCTTTTGATAACAAGACTTTCGTGTAGCTTTAACTACACCTTACTATTAGTTCTCCTCAAGGTACAGAACATTCAGATTCTGCGTTAACAACAACGAAGATGGGTATACTAATAACAAAATATCAACACACACAAAACGGAACAGATACAATGAAAGGAACAAAAATAAAGTTTGAATAATAAAAGTATATCAGTCAGAATGTAATGATTTTTTTCGGTGGTTGTTTCAGTTTTGTAATGATGAACAAAGCATTTTTTAGGGGCCAGTTAAATCTTCAATTCTCACCAGTGCAAGTCAATCAAACAGCATTTTAATCAATCAATTGAGTCAGCAAAGGACTAGTATAGAGGTCAACAAGTTAATACATATATCTTCTTTTACCATCAGATAAATCTTCAGTTAGCTACAATCTCATGAGATGATTAATATGTTAGCCAATCAACACAAATTTTAAGAATTAAACAAATCACTTCACAGAACGTTACTTTAAACGTTTGGATGTATTTTTCAGTTAACTACAGTGTAAGTAAACTGCACAGTGTCTTATCAAACCAACGAAAAGCACGTTACTTTAAATGATCAGTTTAGTACATTGAAAGAATTGTCAACATGGTTAGTATCTTAACCAATGTACAGTGTTGTCAAGAGACACGGAATCAGCAAGCTAGCGAATAGCAGACAATTTTAACCGCTCGGATAAATCTTCAGCTATTTACAGCCTAAGTTAACCGAACAGAATATTAGTAATGTTACACAATCAACAAATCTTAGAAATATCTCTGGTTCATTTCAAAACCATGTACTTTGTTCACCATCACTGGGTTGTCTTTTCATCTTGTCAACAGATTTATGTATTCTATCATTACTATGTTTAGATAGATATTTGAATTCTTTATGTACTCTGTCAATAGGGTTACATTGTTCACCAAAATAACGTGCTTATAAACATATTTTATACGCTAATATAAAATGGTTAGTAACGTATTTGGATTCTATTTACACCTTGTCATCAGTCGTACTACTTTCACAAACCATATGTTCACACAGACTGTGCTATTATTCTGTGGACATCTAACTGGAACTTGCCACATACTGAATAACACGTAAAATTGTATGTTTCTGTAAATTATAGTCGTTTACACTATTGCCTTGATACAGTTCAATAAGTACCTTAATTATTTATAGTATTAGCTATATCAATATAACAACTACATTGGCCAAATGTAATAGCCATGATGCTTCAGTGCATGGTAATATCGCTAAGCAGGCCCAATCTCGTCAAGTGTTCTTGAGTTAAGAACCAAAAACACCACTAGCAGCGAGTACACCAAACTGATGACATAGGGCAGAGTGGTCATAGAAGTTCTTTGCAGTTTACTTATTACTCATAATTAAGACAAGTTATTAGTATTGTAGAATTTTAGCAGCTATTCTGGTAGAAGTTATCATAGAATTCTTAGCATAATTATCTCATTAAGTAACACCAAGTGTTTAGAAGCACCTATGGTTTCTGTCTATGCCTTGTCAGCAGCCTTATCTCTCACAAACTGTTTATAAAAGCTCTCTGTCATAAGCCTTACGTCGTTCAATACCAAGTGTTTAGAAAAATCTTTGGAGTTACGTACTTATCTCAATCACCAGTATACATGTTTAGAAACAGCCCTGTTCTTATTGACTATAAGTGCAAAATTCTTATTGAACACAACAGAAGGTTATTACTGAACACAGCAGCAAGATTCTTTATCAACATACTAACTCTGTTCTTACTGATCATAAAAACCAAGTCCTTATTGAATATAGCAGAAAGATTCATTATCAACATACTAATTCTGTTCTTACTGACCATAAAAATAAAGTCCTTATCGAACATAGCCGAAAGGTTCTTTATCGGTATTACGCACTCACTGCTGGGCGTAAATCTACTATTAAACTCTCATCATGTCTTGGTGTTTATTCGGAAGGATTTTAGCCCCTCTAGGTATCAGCTTCTTAGGAGGCAGTCAAAGTTGGTCCTGTTAGCACTAAAATTGTGGGAAGAGTTCGCGGACAAATAAACAAACAAATAAATTCACAAACACCTAACGTAAATTAATATAACAACTCTGTTATTATTGACCATAACAGCAAAGTTCTTATTCACCATGACAGCAAATAATTTAATGAATATAATAGCAATATTTCTCATCAGCATAACTGCAAAACTCTTGAATAAGGATTAACAATCATGTACTACCGAACACTGTATCTGTGATCTTAGGATTGTAATACAATTGCTAGCGTTTATAGAATTTTTGTTGTTACTTTCTTGTATACATTTCACTCTACACATTCACAAACTATCTTATATTAAGGTTTCTTTATATACGTGTTTGGCCAATCTCTCTGAAATGTCGATCTTTTTATATACGTGTTTGGCCAATCTCTCTGAAATGTCGATCTTTTTATATACGTGTTTGCCCAATCTCTCTGATATCTCTACCATATCCACTAACGTAAGTGAATGTTGAGTCAAACACTTATCATACTACGACGTTAAGGAGTGATACAGTAACCGTTGTTAACTAGGCACTTGGTTTATTTATGTACTTGGAATACTATTAACTAGTCTTATTGTTTAGAAGATTATTAAAAAATGTAATTAAAAAGGGGGAATGGGGGAATCGCAAAAAATTTAAACAAATAAGCTTAAGGTTTGAAACATAGTGTTGACATTATTTCCTCAAGCTACAAATCCCTATTTTGACTCTCCTAAGTATTACAGCTTTTAGACGTGGAGCCAAAATAGGGATTTGTAGCTTGAGGAAATAATATCAACGCTATGTCTCAAACCTTACTTTTTGCCGACTACATTTTCACTTCAAGCTACCTATCTTGTTTCTGTAATATTTTAAAATTCCTATTCCCCCTTTTTATATTAACCATTTTTAGTAATCTTGTTTCTTTAGTTGTTCTTTATATCCATCTTGGAAATAAATCTGTATAAATAACAATACTATCGCATTTGAAACAGCTTAGTTTAATGAAACACATAGTCGGTGTATAATACTATCTCGGGAAACAATGACAACCTTTGAATTGGCTTCATGGAGATTGGATGGCTATTGCTCTTGATATCATTCCCAAATTGTTATCATTGATAGTGGTACAGCATGTATGATGCATGGTGGTCAACATACCACATATTAGTTATATGCTTGTAAAATATATCTAGCTACTATGTTTATATCCTGTAACTATATGGGGAGTCTGTAAATACTGGATTCGAGAGACTACTGAACCATACTGGATAGTGCATAGACTGGATTTTTCAACCACATGAGGGTTATACATGTATGCACATGCAATGCATGCTGGCTAGTATTTATATCTATCTATCTATATATATATATGCGTGTTTTATAGTATTTTTTAAGCTATAAAACCGTATATATATAGATAGCCATTTGAATTTTTCAAGTTGTATAAATGCATGCAAATAGAAGAGAATGTGTCATAATATAATAGCATATTTATACAAATAACCATTTTATATATTTCTAATAGTTGTTATATTTCCTCGTTCCTCTTCCTCCTCTCAACTGATCATAGTAAGGCCGGTCACGAGTTTGCTGAAGCTGGCCAGATTTCCTCTTAGAGTGACATTCTGCACACTCTACAAGGTCAAAAACATGTTAATTAACAACTATGAATTGGTTATATTGATACACTCAGTTTGGGTCGTGACAATTCTACGATCCTCTTCCATTGTGAGACCCAAAACTCTGGTGGGCCATCGCTGCTTCATGCTTTATCTGAAACTAAATATTTTCTAAATGAAATATAAATAGCTACAAAAGTTTTGCCTCACTTTCGCCTAGAATCGCCACATCCTGCTTGCACGATTCTCGCCACTCCTTATAGTCAGCTTCAAGGATGGCTAATCTATTTGTAGTATCTATAAAATTTACAGTCACGCAGTGTTGGCAATAATTCGACACTTACCATCAGCTATCACCGTGATTACCGATCCGATGCTCGAAAGTGAGCTAGGTGTTATCTTTTAAACTACGGCTTCAAGATTTTTGTTGTGAGAGACAACTAGACGTTTGTGTAACATGGCCGAAATCGATCTTGCAGTGGTAAAAAAAACAAAAAAAACTGTGATCCTGTCAGCAGCGTGTGTCCAAAATGGCAGGAACCCTATATATAATCAAATGATACATGACATCAGTACAGTTACAACAATAAGTTAATAATAGCTATGATACATGTGTCATGCCTGCCATATAAATATTAAATTACATCTACGGCCTGCATGCAACTATATACGTATGCATGTAGTAAATTATGAGGCTCCATATAAACCAAAGATTACATTAAAACAATTGGCCGTCAACGGTTATACAGCCGCTGTTATTTGCTGGGCAGTCAGATAAACTGAGAAACTACCCTACACAGTGCGCAATGATGCGTCTAGTAATATGGTCCAGGTTTTAT